CTCTAATACATATAAAGCCCTTGGTCCAGTGCCTGGCCAATGAGACAGCATGCCAGTTAATTGCTATTTCCTGAACCCAGGGATGTCACAGCACCACCAGCTCGAACATTGACTGCTCTTCTGGATTAGTGGCTCAGAATCCAGATGAGCCAATCACTTAGGGATGTGCCCTCTGGGGAGACACAGACAGCTATAAGTAAGTGTGGCATACAGTGCTGGTGCTAAAAAAAATGTAATATGGGGATATGTAAATACTACTTAGAGAAGGGATAATTATACCCTTTCCCACTCCATCTCAGCCTTCCCCTGTATTTCTCACCATGTTAGGTAGTCCTATGCTTTGTTAAGTCTGAACACCGACTCCCTCCCTCCTCACAATTATATCCAGTTGGTTTCCAAGTCCTTCCCAGCAATCAGAAAAATGGGTTCCCTTCTACCTATACCCTCGTTTGCCCCTTCCCTGGGTTCAAACTCTGATCAGCTCTTTCCTGAGTTTTTCAATAACCTTTTGGAAAATTGTATGTATATTCATTTATTTATTTTACAGTCAACACATATTTCCATAGAAGAGTTAGAAAATGCAAGTGGCTAGAACCCTGTTTTGATTTTCTCCTGTGCCTACACATAGGAATATTTTCCTGAGCAGACTGTTTGGCAACCTGTTTTTATCACTCCATATATTCTTTCTGTGATAATACACACCTACATTGTCATTAAAAAAAAAAAAGTTTATTTTTATATCATTTTGTGCCTTTTTTGCCTTTTTCCATCTCAGTTGTAATCCCTGTGGGCTTCCCATCACCAAATCATCCGTGTGCCATCACCATAGTCCAGTGTACTTCCCCCCACCATTTTTGATCCTATTTCTCAGCCCTCCCCCCACACTGGTAAAATGTCTCTGGTCTATAGTTGTTCATTATTATTTTTCTCACCTGGCCCTTTGTACTCCTGCTATGAGTGAAACCATCCCGTATTTTTCTTTTCTTTCTGGTTTATTTCACTAAACATGATCTTTTCCAGCTTCATCCATGTTGCTACATTGTCATTTTTTAAAAAAGATTTATTTATGCATACAGAACTGGGATACAGGCAGGAGGATTCACTAGAGACAGAGCGGGGAGCAGAACAGGCCGACTGACAACGTACACTGCTGAGGGCAGTAGTGGGGGAGACAGGAGAGGGCTGCTGCACCATGTGGATCAGCTCTGGGGCGGGGATCAAACTGGACCGAAGCGGGCCCCTCGCGCCATGGCGGGGCAGTTCTCTATTTTTCATGTGTGTGCCTACCGCACTAAACTGGTAACATTGGGTCCTCCCTGGTGGCCACTGGATTGGGATGCAGCACTGGAACCTTGCTGCAGCCATTTCAGTGCCGTTTGATGCCGCCCAGGAGCTGACCCACATGGCCCAGCAGACCTCTCCTGTCCATCCCACTGCTCCCCTCAGCAGTGTACTTCCTCAATCTGCCTGCTCTGTTCCCTGCTCTGTCTCTGGTGAATCCTCTCACCACCTCTGCAGCTCTGGCCTGTACCCCAGTTCTGTATGCACAAATATACAAATCTTAATAATAATAAAAAAAAACCTGGTAGCACCCCAAGTGAAGTCAATTTGGAGAGCTATTGGGATCAGAGAACAGGGCTCTTGGGTGATCTCTTAGATAAATTTCACCGGAATTCTACTTTCAGTGGCAAGAGGTGAGTTTCCCCATGAGGCCGGGACGTTTGGTTATCCAATAGGGCAGGTTTTTTATATAAACAGGGAAAGGAAGGGAGAGATGCTTGTACAGACACAGGCAGACAGAAAGTGTTGCCCTGAAAGGTTTATAAGAAAAGATGAAAGAAAGGGAGGCATGGGGCCCTCCCTGATGGTACAATGAGTTTAAGCTCAGCACTATGAAGCTATCCACAGCCACTGCAGCACAAGTTCAATCCCTGGCCAGGGAGGTGGCCCACATGGCATGACATCTCTCCTGACCCTCCCACTGCTCCCCTCAGCAGTGTATTTCAGTGGATCTGTCTATTTTGCTCCCCACTTTGTCTCTGGCGAAACCTCACACACCAGCACCTCTCACCTGTATCCCAGTTCTTATGTGCATAAGTAAATCTTTAAAAAAAAAAAAAAAAAGTCCTGTGCATAGTCACAAGTGTTATGTTTAGAAGTGGTAGGTGGCATAGAAGAACTAGAGTGTAGGTCAGTGGTGTGGGGGCATGTATGGTTCGTGGGGATTATGGGATTCACCAGAGATAGAATGGGAAGCCCAACAGGCGGAGGCACAAGTGCTGTGTTTGGAAGTGTTGAGGTTTTTTGTTTGTTTGTTTGTTTGTTTGGCATAGAACTGGGGTCAGAGGTGGAGAGGGAGGGGGTTTGAGAGGATTCACCAGAAACGGAGTGGGGAGCAGAACAGGCAGATCTACTGAAATACACTGCTGAGCATTGGTCAAGACAGGAGAGGTCTGCTGGGCCATGTGGGTTAGCTCCCTGGCTGGGGACAGAACTTAGGCTATAGCTGTGATAGTGCTGAGACTTAACCTGGAAGCCACCAGGAGGGCCCTGGAAGTTATAGGCTTAAGAAAGGCCTGCACAGGCACAGGTGGGCAGGTAAGCTGCTGAGGACATAGTGCTCTTCTCTTTGGGAGGGGTTCAGTCATCTGTGAAATTGTTAACTGTTGTTAGATCACTTCTAGGTAGATTTGAAGGGACCAGTGATTCTCAACAAGGTCCTCAATCTCCATATCCTCACTTCTGGTCTTTGCCTCTGGATGTTTTTCTCTCATTCTGACACTTGTTATAGCAGTTGGATTTTTCATTTCTATAGCTGGCTAAGCGACTATGTTGGTCATTTCTACCCCCACTGGTCTTGTGATGGTGCCATCCTAAATGTCCTACTCTTAGCCTCCACCACAAGGACAAATCTTACAAAAATCTCATCTCCCAAATTCTTGGCTTAGCAGCAGGGCTAATAAATGTTAATATACAACCCTCTCCCCATCTTCAGATGGGTTGTAGGTACTTCCAGGTATCCATCCTCTGCAAAGGCAAGGTTGTGTAAGCACAGTTGGGGGGGGGGGTGCCTAGGGTTCAGGAACACAGTCCCAGGAAGCGCCCCAGCAGAGTTTAATGTTCCAGCTTCTCCCTGGGTTTAGCCTTTGGAGGGTTAGTCGACCTGTCCCTAGTCTCCCTCTGACCTCTTTGTCTTTGTATCTGTATGTTCTGTTGTTTCTTCTGTCTTGGGTGTGTTTCTCTCCAGGCTCCTGCCTTTTAATTCCTCCTACTCTGCTTCAATGACTTTATAGCTATTTCTTATCGTTTTCTACATCTCTTTGTCTCAGGCCGCCAATCTTTCACGCCTGTATTTTTGGCCTGCGGTTGTCTCTCCTGGCCTCAGACTCGGGGCTCTTGGGTTACGACAGTCTGAGATCCTCTAGCCCAGGACCTCAGTTCCTGGGTCTTCGTTCACGGTCATCTCGTCTGTCTGCCTCTCCAGCATTTCTGTGGCGGCTGCTTCTTGCCTCTGCTCCGGGCTCGGTGGCCCCCGGCCCAGCCCCCACACCCAGCTCGGACTCCGGCCTCTGCGCTCGCCGGGCTTTGTTTCCCACGTCTCGGCGCCCCGCCCCCGCCCCGTCTAGGGTCTCCGCCGCCCTTTGTCTGCCTCGGTCTCCCCCCACCCCCTTCTCCGAGTCCGTCTGTGGAGCTCTCTTTGTCTCTCCAGGCCGGTGGGGCTGGCGCTGCCCGCCGTCCCTGGTCGTCTGTGCGGGTGGCCTGACATCGCGACAGTTAAGGAAGAGTCTTTGCCGCGGTCGTCCAGCTCCGGCCCAGGAGGCACACGGTTAATACCACCGAGTTCGGGCAACTGTCCGCGGCTTAGAGTAGCCCTCCCGCGGCACGCGCCCGCCCGCCGGCCACCGAGCTCTGGCTGACGCCACGGCCCCCACGGCCGCGCAGCTCCTCCAAGGTCCTAGAGCGGCCTGTGCCGCCCGGCGCTTCCGCTTCCCGTCCCCGCCCCCGGCGGCCGCCCCCGGGACGCCTGGGTTGGAGCCCCCTCCCCGTTTGGCTTGCAGCCCACCTTCCAGCCGCCGGTGACTCGGGCACCCGAACCTCGCCAAGGAGCTCCGGAGGGCTCTGGGGTGGCGGAGCGCGAGGCGGCCGGGAGGTGAAGGGAGCGGCTGCGTGCGGGAAGGAGCGGCAGGTGCAGGGGCGGCGCGGGTGGGGGTCACAGGGAGCCGCGCCCCCACCTCGGACCCGGACGCTGGCCGGCAGAGGGCAGCGACTGGGAGCCGCGGGCCGCACTTGGCTGTGTGACCGTGGGATTGTGCGTCTGTCCCCTTGCTCCAGGGCTGCGTGCAGGCGATGGAGCGCGCGGTGGATCCCTGGGGCCCGGATCTCCATGGCTCGGAGGAGAGGGAGCAGCTGAGAGGCGCCCGCACAGGTGAGGGCTGCGGCGGTAGCCGCCACGGACAGGTAATGGCAGGTGGGGACTCGGTGTTGGGCTCTCTGCCTCGCCGATACCTAGAAAAATCGGATATGAAGTGTTTCGAGGGAGAGGGGGAAGGAGCAAAACCAACGAAGGGAGCCAGTGTTTCTGAGCACCTACTGTGCGCCAGTCCAGGGGCATCCTTTCCAGGTCTCCCTTCCAGGACAGTTATCACCGTTATCATTGCCTCTGCCCTATTTCAGGCCTCATTTGATCTTGTCTAGGCAATTGTAGTAGCTTCCCTTTTCCCTCTATTGATACACTCTGCTGCCAGGTGAGCTAAGTCAGGTCTAAATGTCATCTCCCTTCTCAAAAAAATCTTCCCTCTGCTGATTAGAAGCCTTAGTCTAAGGTTCAGTCCAGACCTTACATGGTTAGTCTAGTCCCAGCATCCCTTTCCAAGCTTTATCATTCCTGTCCATGGTTTACTCTTTCCCCTGCTGTGAAAGGCTGTCCCTGTTTCTTTAGTTCTTGATTCTCTTGTGATAGCACAGTTATTATGAACCCACAATTACAATTATTTGTGCTTTATCTTATCTCTCTCCTTTGTGTGAGGGTGGATAGAGTCTTCTCATGTACACATACGATGACTGAAGTAATAAATTACAGAATGGGCTACTATAAAAAGTTTTAATAGAAAAGCAAATGTCAGATTTTCCAAATATGAAGTATATAATGTAATACTTAATTCAAGTTTGGAAAACAGGGAGATCCAAGTTTAAAAATCTACCTTTGTTACTTCCTAACCTTTATAACCTTGAGCAAGGGACTTAAAATCTATGTGTCTTTATGTCTATGAAGTGGAGATAGTAGCAGGATTACTTAATAGGATTGATTGCAAGGATTCAGCAGTGTTTTGTAGGGGACATTTTAGGGAGATCTTTGTTTTCTTTGGCTGATCCACCAACAAATTGGGAAAGAAGTTAGCAAGTGAAAGGACAAATCTAATTTCCTGCACAGAGAAGTCCAGAAGATATGGAACCTAGTAAATGACCAAAACAATTTGTATAGTTTTTAGACAGAGAAGCAATACATAGGAAGTGAAGACAGGATAAAGAAATTTTTGAAAGTTCTGGTTCAGACAACTAATTTAGTTACCTGAGCAGTGTTTGTTCACGTCCCACTTCTATCTCTGACAGTAAACTCTTATTTCAAGGGTACCTCTCATAAAGAGATTTTCTACTTTCAGGAGGAAGAGAGAGGAGGAGGGTAAAGGAAATTTCCAGCTTTTGGAGAGAGGAAGGTTGAGGGTATCATTCATTCACTGACTGCTTCTTTATTTATTTATTTATTTATTTTTATTTTACAAAAGTTTATTTTTACATTTACATTTTTTCTTTTCCATCTCAATTGTAATCCCTGCGGGTTTCCCATCACCAAGTCACCCGTGTGCCATCACCATAACCCCATGCATTTCCCTCCCCTGCCCCCATTTTTTATCCCATTTCCCACTCCACCTCTGCAAAATGTCTCTGGTATATGATTGTTCATTATTTTTGTTATTTTCTCGCCTGGTCCATTATACTCCTGCTATGAGTGAAACCATCCAGTATTTTTCTTTCTCTTTCTGGCTTATCTCACTAAGCATGATCTTTTCCAGCTCCATCCAAGTTGCTGCAAAAAACATGTGTTTCTCTTTTTTGGTTGCTGAGTAATATTCCATTGTATATGTACCACATCTTTTTTATCCAGTCATCTACTTTTGGGCATTTGGGCTGCTTCCATGTTTTTCCAATTGTAAATAAGGCAGCAATAAACATGGGGGTGCAGGTATCTTTTTCAATCAGTATTTTTGTGTCTTTTGGGTAGATACCTAGGAGTGGGATTGCTGGGTCATAGGGAAGCTCCATGGTTAGCAGTTTGAGGAACCTCCAAACAGTTTTCCATAGTGGTTGTACTAGTTTGCATTCCCACCACTGACTGCTTATTAATTCAAAGTATATACTAAGTGCATTCGGGGTGACCTGATCTGGAATCTGGTGGCTTAATTCAGGAGTTATTGTTACTAGTGAGGCAGAGACAATAGGAGTTTCAGAAGCTTGGGGAGGCAGCAATCACAAATTGTCAGGGAAGCCTTGCTAGGAAGATTGCTACCAAAAATAGGACCTGAACCAAAGGGCGAGGTCTGCAACTCACTTTTCTTTCCTCAGGTCTAGGGAGTGAGAATGTGGAGATTTCTCAGCCCCATGAGTTTGAACATACCCCACGGGAGGATGACTTGGGGTTCAAGGAAGAGGAAGATTTAGCCCCAGGTCACGAAGTAGAAAATGCCTCTCTCAAACCCCAAGGCATCCAGACCTGGGATGACTTGTGGGTCCACAGAGAGGGCCCAGGAAAGCCGCCGACTCGGGACAGAGGCCCCCGGCTCCTGGGAGAACCTCGCTGGGGCCAGGCTAGTGATCGAGCTGCTGTGTGTGGTGAGTGCGGCAAGAGCTTTCGACAGATGTCAGATCTGGTCAAACACCAGCGGACCCACACTGGGGAGAAGCCCTACAAGTGTGGGGTCTGTGGCAAGGGCTTCGGTGACAGCTCTGCTCGTATCAAACACCAGCGAACTCATAGCGGTGAAAAGCCCTACAGAGCACGGCCACCTGCCCAGGGCCCTCCAAAGATACCTCGGTCCCGGATCCCTGCTGGTGAGCGCCCCACTATCTGCGGTGAATGCGGCAAGAGCTTCCGGCAGAGTTCCGACCTGGTGAAACACCAGCGGACGCACACAGGTGAGAAGCCCTACAAGTGTGGCATCTGTGGCAAGGGCTTCGGTGACAGTTCTGCCCGGATAAAGCACCAGCGGACACACCGGGGGGAACAGCCCCCTCGGCCCGTGGTGCCCCGACGGCAGCCATCTCGAGCAACTACAGCAGCCTCGCAGGGTCCCAAAGCCCAGGACAAGCCATATATCTGCACTGATTGTGGTAAACGGTTTGTGCTCAGCTGCAGTCTTTTAAGCCACCAGCGTAGTCACCTGGGGCCCAAACCTTTTGGCTGTGATGTGTGTGGAAAGGAGTTTGCCAGGGGCTCAGACCTGGTGAAGCACCTGCGGGTGCACACAGGTGAGAAGCCCTATCTGTGCCCTGAGTGTGGCAAGGGCTTTGCTGACAGCTCTGCCCGGGTTAAGCACCTCCGCACCCACAGTGGTGAGAGGCCTCACGCCTGTCCAGAATGTGATCGCACCTTCAGCCTCAGCTCTACCCTTCTCCGCCACCGCCTCACTCACATGGAGCCCCAGGAGTTCAGCTTCCCAGGCTACCCCTTGGCCCCCCTAATTCCCAGTCCACCCCCCAGCTCAAGTCCACCCCCGCCTCCTCTTGGAACCAGCCCTCCGCTGACGCCTCGAAGCCCTGCACACTCGGGTGATGGGCCTTTTGGTCTGCCTGGTTTGGAGCCAGAGCCTGGGGGCCCACAGGCTGGGGAACCACCCCCACCACTGGCCGGTGATAAACCCCACAAGTGCCCTGAGTGTGGTAAGGGCTTCCGCCGAAGCTCGGACCTGGTCAAGCACCACCGTGTGCACACAGGAGAGAAACCCTATCTTTGCCCAGAATGTGGCAAGGGTTTTGCTGACAGCTCAGCCCGCGTCAAGCATCTTCGCACCCACCGTGGTGAACGGGCCCGGCCACCACCACCATCTACTCTCCTAAGGCCACATAACCCCCCAGGCCCAGCCCCCACTGCTCCTCGGCCCCGAGTCCGTGCCCAGCCCTCTGGACCCAGCCAACCCCACGTGTGTGGCTTCTGTGGGAAGGAGTTTCCCCGGAGTTCTGATCTGGTCAAGCATAGGCGCACACACACGGGAGAGAAGCCATATAAGTGTGCGGAGTGTGGCAGGGGTTTTGGTGACAGTTCTGCCCGTATCAAGCATCAGCGTGGGCATCTGGTCCTGAGGCCCTTTGGGATAGGAGATGGTCGAGCAAGGCCCCTCAAGGAAGAGCCACCCACAGGACTGGAGTGATGGAGTCCAGGGGTGGTGGGGGCCCAGGGCACCAAAGGGGGGTATCTGCTGCTTAGGCAGAGAAGGAAGGGCCTGGGAGGTGGTGGGAGGGAGAAAGAGGGACAGGAGAAAGGAGTGAATAGATAGAAATAGATTGGAGACAATGACCTTGAAGCTCAGGAAACTTAATGGCTGGCTCAGTCAAGACCTTGCAATATGGTCTCTACGTCCAGCTTCTAGTACACTGCCTAGTATGCTGTAAGCCCTCACTGCCTGTTAAGTGAAAAAAATTGGTCTCAGCCTGAGGGCTCCTGAGGTATCAAATTCCTGCTGCCTCTTAATGTGAAGAGAACTGGTCCCCTTCCAACTTTACCTGTGGTTAAGTCCAGCACCTTGAATCCAGTTTATGAACTTCATGAGCTGCAACAATGAGACTTGGAGTTTAGGGTGAGAGGATGAGGCAGGGGTATCTTGATGGGGAGAGTATTGCTGTGGAGTGGGCACTACCCCGCGTCAGGTCACTAGACGTGGCCAGGAAAGGCACTCCTAAACAGCCCACACCGCTCTGCCTTTGACCCCCACACACCCTGACATCGGACACTGGCAGGCTAGAGACTGAAGGAATGCTCAAGGCATCCGTTCTGGTTGCCAAGCCCAGGGCCTTCTGATGGATGTGAGCGACAAACAGGCTGGGAGAGGTAGGGAAGCTCCAAGGCCCGACAGCCACATCTTCATGTAGCTCCTGGCCAATAAACTGCTTCTTGTCTGAGGCGTGGACTCTGTGTCTGTGTGTGTGTGCCTGGCAAGGGTTGAAGAATGTAGGAGGTTCACAAGCCATGTGTGAACCTGTGTAGGCCCCTTTCCCTCTTTGTTGGCTTGGCCCAGATAGATGCCTTCTAACATCTGATTTTAAAACCACCATCAAGTCAGTCAACTGATGCCCACAGGTGCCACCTACACCTCAGCATCGAGCTCAACCTTTAAAGGGTAAAACATGAAGTGGGCTGTAGGTGGGCAGGATGACGGGAATTAGGGGAGGGGAGTAGGTGAGTGAAAGTTTTGCTGTGGTCACAGGTACTGGGATTGCAACCTCTCGACCTACTAAGAAACCCTGCCTCCCTGAGGATTGGGTCAGGCTGCACAACCAAAGGCAGTAAAGGAGAGGTCGCTCCAGTGGGAAAGGCCACCCTGTCTCCCAGCACCCTTGTGTCATCAGGAGAACGTCATCTCCCAGACTTTTTTGAGAAGGAGGCAGGGAGGGGATAAGGAAGGAAAAGTAACTGACTTGGTTGGCCAAGGACAGAAAGGCTGGGGTGGTCTGCCAGTCTAAGCAATGAAGTACAAATTTACTGTGTTGCTTTGCAATTCTACTTGAGCTTGACAGGTGCTCTGCATCCTTGGGGAGAAGTTGTCAAGAGATCTTAGCCCTTGGCCCTGCCTTGCTGCAGTGTGATCCTCTCCATCCTTCACCCTGCCCAGTTGTTACACACACTTGTAATCCTAGAATTTTGCCTTCAGTTCAAAAGGTGGGGTCTTGGCATTTTCTGCCCTACAGCCTACATGCACCCATAGGCTTGAATGAGAATGGGGGGATTTCTGGAGGATGCTCCTTGCTGGTTTCCATATCTCCCTTCCCTAAAAGGCCTTCAAGTCAGGACAGCTCTGAACTGACCATGACATTCCCTATTAAAAACTCTGCGGTATCTTTTGTCTTCTCTGTAAAACTCAGCGTCTTGGTTGGTGTTCAAGGCCTTCAACCTGTGTATATTCAGACCCGTGCCTCTTAAATGTTTCCTTTACTTGGAATGTAAAGGAGTGGAACACACACTTGTTAATCTCTCCTATCAGAATGATTCAAATTTACTTCCATGTGTGTGTGACACAAGGCTCACCAGAGATAGATTGGGGAGCAGGACAGGCAGAGGTACTGGAATACATTGCTGAGGGGAGCAGTGGCTAAGGGGGGTGGAGGGGGATGGTGTCTGTTGGGCCTTATGTGGCTCAGATCCCTGGGTCTTACCTTTTGCTAGATCCTCCAACCATAATCTGGCCCCTTCCTACCACATTGCCTATACAATATGTCCACCACCTCACACATTGTATTTCTCCTGGTCACCTCACTGAACTTGTCATAATCTTCCTTTATTCCTCAAACTTATTCTCACCTAAGATGTGTATAGTTCTGTCTAGAATACTCTTCAGATTTGCATCATTCAAGTTTCATATCAAACTATTTCCTCAAAGTTGCCCTCCCTGCTCAAGATTTTTGTTTTGCTTACTACTGTATACCCAATAATTAGGATGGTGCCAGGCACACAAGAGGACCCAATAAATACCAGATGAGAGGATGAACACAATCAGTGGCTTTGGGGGAATCTTGAATGTATCTAGGCGTTTGTCCTTTTCCCAAAAGAGCAAAAAAAAATTTTTTTTAAAGATTTATTTATTTATTTATACATACAGAACTGGGGTACAGGTGGTGAGAGGATTCACCAGAGACAGAGTGGGGAGCAGAGCAGGCAGATGGAGGAAGTATATTGCTGAGGGGAGCAGCTGGCAGGTCAGGAGAAATCTGCCATGCCATGTGGTCACCTCCGGGGCAGTGGGGATCGAACTCATGCTGCAGTTGCTCCAGCCTCCTAGTGCTGTACCTTAGCCCGCTGTGCCACCAGGGAGGGCCCCCAAAAGAGCAAAAATTTGACCAGATTTAATCAAAGGATCTGAATCATGCCTTAGGCTCAGTGGATTGAGTTCAGTCCTGGTTCTACCACCAGTTTCCTCATGTAACTTAATTTCTGAAAGTGAGTTGGGATAACAGAAAGAGTGTGCTACTTAGTGATACCACTTTTAGCAAATTCAACTCTCTACGATTTAATTTCTTCATTTGTCAAAAGGAAATAATAATTGATCCCCACAGGCCTCTCCTAAAAGAGAAGGTAGGAAGTTATAAGCAATGGATGACATTTTGCTTTTCTTTCATCATTTCTGAATCTTAATTGCTCAATTCATGTGAGAAAATTGGATGACATTTTCAAAACTTAGGAAATAGATTTTTATATGAATTATTTCTATCTCTAAATGCTGAAAACTGCAGTTGTAAGAAAGTGCTCTTTTTTCAGAAACTAATTTTTTTGCCTTAGCTTCTTAGTTTGTCACACCATCCCCCCACGGCCCAAACTAATTTTTGAAAGAAAAACACCCTGTGAGCCAAGGAAATTCTGTGAACTTGATATGGTCACTGGGGTAATTTTTCACCGGGGCTACTACTTGTCAGAATAATACGACAACTCTTAGGTTGTTAACTTAGGCAAATCAGTTTACCTCCCAAACTTCCATTAGCTCATTTGTAAAATTTATCCACCTTTGTGCGGGTCAAAGGAGATAAACATTGGTCGGAAAGTAGTGAGTTCTATCAGTTGTTCCCTCAGCTACACATCAAACTGCTTATTCAATTCATCACCCCTTCTCACCAATGACTAGTCTTAAAGAAAAAAAAAGTGTTTAAAGACGCTGGCTCACAGTAGGCACACCGCACGGTAAGCAGCAGCTGATCTCTAAGTATATATTCAAGGAGCAAGAAATCCCCGAGACCAGGACACCAAGAAGGCGGCACCAGAAAAGGAGAAAAGATGGGAGAGGAGGAAAAAGGAGACGGGGAGAGGTGAGGAGAGGCAACAGGGTCCGCCCTCCAGGCGGGGCGCCCGCGAGAGGCCCAGGCCGGGGCGGGAGCGCACGTGGCCTATTTCGGGCGGAGCAGCCGCGCTCGCAGCCGCGGAGATCTCCCGGTCGGTCACAGGAGACGAGCCTGGAAGGTAGGTCACAACTGAACCGCCAGGACCTTCAACGCAGCACGAGGCAGCCTGGGGCCCCTGGGTGTCGCAGGCTGCGCGGCTCGGGGATCGCCACTCTCCCCCTGCAGTTGGGGCCGGGCGCCTGGGTTCCCAGGGCCCCGCCCACGGGGGCGGGGACAGTCGCCAGGGCCAATGGCAGCTCGCCTCCCAGGCCCCGCCCGCCCCGCCCCCTAAGCCGCGGCCTCTGAGTGCCCAACAGCCCGGCGCCCTGGCCTGGGGCAGCGCGAGCGCCGAACCTGCGGCTGGTGAGTGCGCACCCCCAGGGTCTCCGCCCCGATCCCGCCTCCAGCCCGTGACCTGGAGCTCCGGGCCGCTAATCTGGGCGCCGAGAAGTGACTCAGCGCGGGGAGGGTGGCGACTCGCGGGGCTGGAGATTCGAACTGTTCAAGGCCTTGAATGCCGGGGCGAGTGGGGTGAACTAATGTTTTCGGAGCTGGACCCGAGACAGTGCTGGGTGTGGGCCGGGCCGGGGTGGAGGGAAGAGGGCCCGACCCAAAGACAGGGCAGGGCGGGAGAAGCCAGGGCTGCACCGTCTAGCCTGGGCCAGGGCCGTGGTGATGGGGGCGGGTCCTGAGCTTCTGACCCAGCTCCCCGCCCCAGGACACCAAGATGCCTGGCGAACAGCAGACAGAGGAGGAGGAGGAGGAAGAGATGCAAGAGGAGATGGTGCTGCTGGTGAAGGGTGAGGAAGATGAGGGTGAGGAGAAATATGAGGTAGTGAAACTCAAGATCCCCATGGACAGCAAGGAGGTACGTGTCCCAACACCCTGGGGCCCCTTTGCTCCTCAACTTGGGCCAGGTCCAGCCTTTCTCAGACAGAAGCCAGAGATCCTGCCCCTACCCTGCTTTTCCCTAAATCTCATGGTTGGCCACCCATTCTTCTGCCCTGCTGCCCATGCTGCCACTGTACAGGTGTCACGCCTGCTGTGTGGCTGCTGGAGAGTAACACTGTCCTTGGTTTCTCATGGAGTTTGATGTCTAGTGGGGTTAGACCCGCAGGTACCACAGCTATTTCTGGTGCGACTGCAGACACATGGGGGTGTGGAAGCCCAGATATGGGAACTTAATGTATACTTGGGGTTTGGTGTGGGCAGTGTGGGGGTCATGTCAGGCAACAGCTGACTTTGCATAGCATTTAATGTGTGCCAGACACTGATCTAAGCACCTCAGTTCTTTGATAGTGATAGTATTTGTTCCATTTTACAGGTGAGGAAACTGAGATCCAGGAAACTGGACAGTGAGAACTGGCCTGCGGTCTCAAAGTTCCTAAAAGGATGGCTTATTGAGACTAGTAAGAGCCTAAGGGGAAGGATGGCCTTTTTAATGACCCAGAGGAGTAATGAGGTACTGGGAGGAGTGAGGGCATAGGGTTCAGTCATGCTGTAACCTCGGTGAGACTAGTGTGTGATTTGCAGGCCCGGCAGGACATCTGGATTTTATCCTGAAGGTGGTGATGGTTCACAGAGGCATTTGGAGGATATCAGCATATGAGTGTTATACTCATCCAAGACCCTAACTATCACCAGATATATTTCCACTTCCCAGAGTCCTACAGGATGCCCTCCACCAGCTAGAGTAGCCATAATTTCAAATTCCAGCTGGGATAGGTTTCCCTGCCCAGGGTACCTGATTTCCTCCTTGCACAGGGGCCAGTTCCCAGGGAAAGTTCTGCTGCCCTCTAGTGGGTATTGTGGGCCCTAGTGGAGGGGTCTGGCTGCTTTGACAAATTCTTCCATCAAAATAACTATAATAGTTGTTTCTCTCAAACTTCTTCAGCCCATTATCCTTGCTCAGCCTGCCTCTTCTGGCCCTGTGGATCTCCACCTTTGACTTGTAAATTAAGAACTGAAATTCCAGAGCTTAGAGTAGACTTTTCCAGCTCCTTCATTTACCAACTTTGTGACCTTTGGGAAGTTTAACCCTTTGTGCCTCAGTTTCTTTACTTGTAAAAGGAAACTCATCATAGCACCTACTTTTGGGAGTTGGGAGGATTAAATATGTTAATACATGTAAAGAGCTGTGTCTGACACATAATAAATACTATGTAAATATCTGCTGCTACTACTCATTCTTCTCTCTGAAGTTTAAAGAGGTCATCTTTTTGGAGATTTTTCAATTTATTTTTATCAAAAACCATTCTAGGCTGAGTCCTGGGCCTGGAATTAAACAGGGAGACCAACATGGTAGTCTTGACAGTGATTGAGGACAAACAAGTCCAGGGGGAAAACTTTACAAGATGACTTTTGACTTGGGTCTTGAAAGTTTAGTGCAATAGACTTCAGTTTGGCAAGTGGAGGAGGAGGAAGGGCATTCCAGGAGGAGAATGCGAATGCAAGGCTCAGCGATGAGGCAAGAGAAGTAAGTGGTGTCATCAAGTAAAAGGCACTGAAGGCCAACATAGGACATACTGCAGTAGGTTATGCGGTGCCATCAGAAGCCTTAAATCAAGGAGGGACATGGTTTTTTTTGTTTGTTTTTGTTTTTTTGATTTAGAAGAATCATTAACTACTGTGGAGACACCTGGCCAGGTAACTTGCTCTAAGGTAGGGGCAGCAGTGGAAAGAAGATGGAGACAAGGGGATACCTGGGCGGACTGGTTGGAGCTAAGCTTGGGGGTCCGGGGGCTAGGCATAGCTTGTCATGAAAGTATGAAGACTAGACTGTAAATGGCATCACGTAGCAATTAAAAGCATTGGTTCAAATCCTAACTCTACCATTCACCAGCTTTGCCTCAGCTTTCTCATCTGTAAATGGGATAATGAAAATATGCCAGTCTGAGGAGGATCATCCAGGTGACTGGATTTGGAGGAGGGTGGCATTGAGGATTACCATGCACACATCCCATGGACATTTAGCACAGTGCCCATAAGATAGCTCATTGATTTGCTGTGTGGTCCCACTGAGTGTCAAGTTTTTCTACCTGTGAAACAGTGATCTTCAAAGCTCCAGTGCTTTCTCTCTGTGACTCTTAGCAATCACTTAGTTCTATGCCCAGTCATTGTCCAGAACAGGCCTTAATTATGCTGCACTCAGGGGCTTGGGTAGTCTTTCTCTGCCTATCATAATCCATTCTGTCTTTAATGAATAGAACAGATTTTCTCAGTGGGCTCTCTGCACATCCAGTTCTGTCTTTCCCTGCTTAAACCCTTGAGTGGTTTCCTATTTCCCTCAGGATAAAGTCTCAGCTTCTAAGTCTGGCATTCAAAGCTGTTCACCATCTGACCTCATGTCCTGGTTTCATGTCTGATCAATCAAGATCCATCCCATTTCCCAGCTTCAAACAGACTGACCCTTTCTTAATCTAAGACTTTGCCCACATGATCTCACACCCTCGTCAGTCCTCTTGCCCTTTTCTACCTGCTTTCTTCTAGAGTAGCTTTTCTTTTCTAGATCAGGTTTCTTAATTGGGGGGGTGTCTTAATTTTTAACATGCATACAAATCGCCTGGGGATCTTGTTAAAGTGAAGGTTTTGATTCAGTAGGTCTGGAATGGGCCTTGAGACTGTGTATCTAACAAGTTCCCATAGATGCTGATGTTGGTCTGTGAGGGAGCTAGAACATAGGGATCGATTTTCTACTTTATACCAATAAGAAGATAGATTCTGATTTTTGAGCGTCCAGGGGAGCGAGATAAGCTGCACAGGTGACTTCAGACATGTCAGCGAGATTGAACTGTATCATGGCTAAGGGAACAGGCATTTTAGACAATGCAGAGTTCAAACTCTGCATCTGATTAGCTAATGACTATGGGTAGTCAGCCACCTTACTTCTGAGTCTTACATCTTTATTTATAAGACAGAACTAATGTACCTAAGCCAAAGCTTTGTGAGAATTTAAAATGAGAACATGAGTAAAAAGACATGAGTATTGTTCCTGGCACATAGGGAATGCTTAATCAGTGGTAGTTATCACTAAAAAATATCACTATGCTACATTATATCCCCATAGTGCTTCTTGTTACAGGGTTCTATGCAAATACCATTCATTCTGACTTTTAATAGCTATAGAATTTAAAGCAAATAGAGCTTTTAATGATCACTTCTGTCTGGTATTTGCCAAGCTTTAGAAACATGTATGTTACCTATTGTGCTCATATATTTATGCTTTTCTTCAGATAGATTCACATTGTTCTGTTAAATAAATTTACCTTCATTTAAACAATAATATTGATGAAATTGTGGGTTTCATGGAATCCATTGTTTTTCTAATATCTGTGAAAATAATGATTATAATAAGATAAAAGTTGGCCTACATAATACCTAGAATCCTCTCGCATCCTATAGTGTGCGTCCCTCCAGCTGGGAAGTTTTGACTTCATCTAGGCTATCTCACCTTCCTTGGAACACTGAGGCAGAGAAGGGGGTGACTTGCCTGCGATGTTAATGAGCTCGCCTTGGCCTGTCTTACCTAGATTCTCTCTGGGGCACCCCAACCCCCTCTCCTGGAGCTAGAGATACCAAAGAGACATGTGTGAAGAATTTCTTTTTCATAAGTCAGTGAACAAGCAGCATAAGGATTTCCTCAGGCTGCTAAAGTCACCTTAAAGAATAGTGCCAAGGGAAAAAGACTAGGAAAAATGTAGCTATAATGAGAAAAGTTCTCTTTACAATGACAACTATGTTGAAATCAACCTCATGTCAAAACCAGGGCACAACTAGAAAATATGACCTTGAATTCACATTGTGCCAATCCAACTGTGTGGAGTTTCTCAATTTAAAGTATCAGGTTGCATTTTCACCTTGAATCTCTCTTGCAGAGTTGGGGACTTGGAGTCCGGCCTCTGTCATGTCTTGGACACATGAGCACAGAGAACTCTACTGGTTAAGGGCTCTAAAGTCAATCCTGACTCCCACTGGCTATATGAATTTAATTTCCTTGAGCCTCAGTTTTTTTCATTCCTGACTTTAAAGGAGTGACAGGAAGATTTTTTCAACAATGTGGATTATATAACATTAAAGCTTTACATGGTAATGTTACTACTATTACCACCTATACTATGATTATATGATACATACATAGGGGTTAAGTCAGAATTCCTGTGACTGATCACTAATTTCTGAGACCACCTTGTTTTCTAATTTCTGAGTTATCCAAAAGCTGCTGCCTTTTAACAAAGATCTTGAAGGCTTTGTGACGTCAGAAAGAAAAGGTCTTATTGTTCCCTGGCTGGTACCACCTCAACCTGTTTCATTTGGTCAATTCATGTGCTTAATTGTTTGGTCCATGAAAAATACTTCACTTCCACTGGAATGAGATTCTAAGAGGGGAGCAATGTGCTCTCAATATTCCTCTTAACACTACTTTTAGTACAAAATGTTTTCTCTTTACCTATTTCTTAAAAGCTATTTATTTCTGATTTTTCTCTCTAGAGGCCCAGACCTCATGATACTGACTCATTTAAAAATTTTTTTTCATTTCAGGCCTCAGAATAACATTGAGGTTTTACCCTTGTCTTCTTCACCACTTTATAAAAAAAGTCTTAGAGAGCCTGGAGTTGGTCCTGGCCTGACTTCTAAGAACCCCATGCTGTCCTGGCGCTGCTACATCACCGGCTCTTTCAGTTCAGTCTCCTTTACTGGCCATTCTGTATCTTGCTGCCCCAGGCTCTCACAGCCCATTCCAAGTGACCTCATCCATTCTCAAGATTTCCTAACTAACATCTCTGGCCTGCGCCTCCCTCCAGAGCTCCAGATGTATCCAGAACTGGAGATACCATCCAAAACCTCTCATCTACCAAGCTGCTCCTGCCGCCATCCTCTCTGTAGATGGCAGCCATGGTAGTTGCCTAGGAGTCATTCCTCTTTTCTTTATACCTCATGTGTAATTTTTGTCAAATTTGTCATCTCAAACTGCAGAATATATCCAGCAGCAGACCACTTCTCACCACTTCCACTTTCCACCCCCTCACCTGGTTTACCTCACTGTTTTCTCTTGCCAGACCACTGCAGAGCCTGAACTTCCTCACTGGTTTCTGCTTCTGTCCTCCACCCCAGCGACCTGAGAGAGCCTTTTTAACTGAGTCTGGTCTTGCCCCAAACAGCTAACACTCTTCAAATGGTTCCACTTATTGATTAGTCACTCCACAGATCAAGGATTACTCTCCCTTGTGCATTCTGCACTAGATACTTTGCATCCCCAAAACTCAACAGGCCAACTCTTGCTCAGGCAGCGTCCTCCTGTCTCTGTAGCCAGCTTTAAGCTCATTTAGATGTTTGCTCACCTTTTACCAGTAAGGTTTCTTAACTCTATTTGAATTTGCAGCCTCCCCCAAAATCAGTACTCTTCAGTCTTCCTGAGAACAGGAATTTAAATTTTTTAAAGCAATGCTGAATGACCAGCGTCTAGAACAGAGTCCGGCCCCTTGTACGTGCTCCCTAAGTATTTGTTGGATTAATAAAGAATAGCTAGAATAACATTAGGCACTGTGATACTTGCATCAGTATATCACTTCTAATGCGGACGCTAGGAGGCAGGCACTTTTGTTTTTTCTCTTGCAAACGGAATACTCAGGTTGCAGCTTGCGGAGACCCAGAGACCTGGGGCCGGGGCCTAGCGGTCAGGGCTGACCTGTGCCCCTCTCCCCGCAGGTCCCGAGCGAGGCGCCAGCGCAGTCGGCCGACCCGGCGCGCCCACACGCGTGCCCGGACTGCGGCCGCGCCTTCGCGCGCCGCTCCACGCTGGCCAAGCACGCACGCACGCACACGGGCGAGCGGCCCTTCGCGTGCACCGAGTGCGGCCGGCGCTTCTCGCAGAAGTCAGCGCTGACCAAACACGGCCGCACGCACACGGGCGAGCGGCCCTACGAGTGCCCCGAGTGCGACAAGCGCTTCTCGGCCGCCTCGAACCTGCGGCAACACCGGCGGCGCCACACTGGCGAGAAGCCGTACGCATGCGCGCACTGCGGGCGCCGCTTCGCGCAGAGCTCCAACTACGCACAGCACCTGCGCGTGCACACGGGCGAGAAGCCGTACGCGTGCCCGGACTGCGGACGCGCCTTCGGCGGCAGTTCGTGCCTGGCGCGCCACCGACGCACGCACACGGGCGAGCGGCCGTACGCATGCGCCGACTGCGGCACGCGCTTCGCTCAGAGCTCGGCGCTGGCCAAGCACCGGCGTGTGCACACGGGCGAGAAGCCTCACCGCTGCGCCGTGTGCGGCCGGCGCTTCGGCCACCGCTCCAACCTGGCGGAGCATGCGCGCACGCACACGGGCGAGCGACCCTATCCGTGCGCCGAGTGCGGCCGGCGCTTCCGCCTCAGCTCGCACTTCATCCGTCACCGTCGCGCACATATGCGGCGCCGTCTCTATATCTGTGCAGGCTGTGGCCGGGACTTCAAGCTCCCCGCTGGCGCCACGGCGGCCACTGCCACCGAGCGCTGCCCAGAGTGTGAGGGCAGCTGAGCCGCCTTTTTTGTCGCCACGTGGCTGCGAGGTGTCTGCGGAGACCCAGACTTGGGGTTGCGCAGCCTGGACGGTTCTGGGATAGGGTGGGGTGGCAGGCTGGGTTGGAGCAGGGAGGCTCCCCTAACGGGGCCCCAGCAAACCTCACCCCCAACTGCAGCCTCACGGCCCGTGTTAGTGAATAAAGTATAATTATATCCTCACCCCACCTGTGCCTGTGAGTGAGGTGGGTGGGGAGAGGAGGAAAGCAGCCCCCAGGCTTAGGTGATTTGAGTGAACTGTGGAGCCAACTGGGCTGTAAAGTCAAAGGGGTTCCAGGAACTGCGTTTGTATGTGCAGCCTCCCACACATGGCCCGCGGTCCCCGTCCACACTACCTCGTATCCACAAGGGGCCATCATTAGAGCATGTTTGTCATCAAGCAGGTGCTTTCTGCAGAACTTGGGTGAGCAGGATGCAACTCCCGGACCTCAGGGCTGTGAAGCAGCTCTAGTAGGAGCTTCCTAGTGCTGTTAACAGGCTTCAAGTGATACAGCTCATTTTTACCCCCTAAGTAGGTATATCTTTCGTCTCCATTTTTGCTGACGAGTAGACAGCCAGTGAATGTCAGAGTAGGTGCAAGTAAAAAGGCCACTGCAGTCTTGTCCCTGGAGCCATGAGGGGCAAGTATTGAGGTAGCTCTTTAAAGCAATCATGGCACTCACAGGCTACTCAGAAGAGATGCTTAAACTGGTCATGAGCAGTATGGAAAGAAAGAGCCCTGAAATTGCCTGCCAGACTTATTAAAGTTTGGAGGCCCCCTCTCAGCCCTCCCACCCTGGGGGTTGGGTAGAATTGGGGACAAAAAGGAGACATGCAGGAGAAAAATCACTAGGGACTTTGGAAACCAGGTTAAAGGATCCACAGCAGCAAAGAAACCTTGGAAGACTGAAAAGGGAGTGGCAGACTTGACAATAAGGAACCAGAGTGGACCTGTGGATAGGGAAATGAGACGGGCTGTATTCATTTTCTAGGCAGTGTCACTGGAAGGGAGGGGGGGGCGGCACAGGATGAGCAGGGCAGGAATTGAAATGGGGGCAGCAGTTACTCCCCAATCTGGGTGGGAGGCTAGGAGAGCTTGGGGATCAGATGTACAGTGCAAGATGTCCAAAAGAGGATACCCAAGAAGGGTGTGTGAAAGAACAGAGGTCGGAAGAAAACTAGAAATGTCTTGCTTGGTCAGATTCTGCTCTGGAGTGCACCATTCAGAGAAAGTGCAAAGTAGTTTGAGTGGAGGGCAGGGTTTTAAAAGCCAGCCTTGAGTGGACTAGGGTGTAACTGGGAGGAGGGGGGAAGCAGAGTGATGAATGAAACATCTCTTCTTCAGGTTTGGCTGTGAGAGTGTGAGGGAAGTAGCTGGAGAAAAGAACTTTATGGGCTGATGGGGAGGGCTACTGGAAAGAGTTGATTTGACAGAGGGGAGATTAGTGATCTAGGAAAGGGAATGAAATCAAGCCCTACCACTGGCAGCGAGAGAAAAGATGGACTTGGGACTACAGAGCTGAAGTAGTTCCAGTCTGGTCTGTTTTACCTAGAAATGGTCTTTTCCCCAGCATTGCACCACCCTGTGAAAGAGGCAGGACCCTTACCCCAGAAGGGAGGTGACGTGAAGGCAAGTCATACACCTAACACTATATTTAGGTGTACAGGCAGAACAAGAAATTGGCCTTAGGAGGCTGGGGGAAGAGGCAAAGGGCCCAAACCCAAGGAGAGCAGAAAGCCCCGTTCTCCATATTAGACAGGTGACTGCCATTTGTGTTGGCTGCTGGAGAGGGGCTGAGGGCTCTCACAGTACTGGGGACCCAGGGCCTAAGGCTGAGTTCTAGGCCTGGCTTGACTGTTACTTCCTGCTCTGGACCTCTATAATTTTTGAGTTGAAAGGCAAACAATCACAACAGCAAACTCACCCAGTACCTTTATGTGTCAGACCCTGTGCTAAGCACTCGACCTATAATAAATAGCTCACTTAAACTTCACAACCCTATCAGGCAGATACTATTTATTTTACAGATGAGCAAGCTGAAGTACAGAGTGATTTGAACACCATCCAGATAAGTATCACTGATGGTACTTGAACCCAGAAAGGCTAGTTCCAGAATGTGGATTCTTAACCAACACTACACACAGCCTCCAACCTCCTTTAGAAGCATGGAACAGGAAGGGGCCTTGCAGGAAATCTCACAGGGAACTGCTAGAAATTAAACCTCTGTCCCAGAGGAAGAAGATACTATAAACGTGGGAGTTTGAGCCCGAGAGCATCCGTCTTTGGCACCTTCTGGGACACAGTCTTCTCCACCACTGCTCCAGGAAGAATCTGGAAATTGCTAACCAAAACTGTTTTATTGAGAGAGAAAAATGAAGCTGTCTTCTGCAGATTTTTGGGCCTCAGAACTCTGGAAGTGGGGCGCTAGGCCCATGATCACCTAGGAAAGGATTAGAAGAGCTTCCATGGCTGGGCCACCCTCTGCTCCTTAGATGCTATGATGAGTTCAGGTTCTGTGCCTATGTTCTAGGTTGAGGTTTGACCGGTAGATTCACAGGTAAGATCTGCAGGCCTCTCAGCCTGGTCTTTGGAGGTGACCCCATGGGACAAGTCTGTATACTTGCGAGCAGAGCCACGGGACAGATGTGCTGGGTAACGTCGCCGGTTGATGTCCATCTTGGCGAGGACTGCTTGGGGCAGATCCACACGGCAGCGGGCTGCTAATGCTACCAGGTAGATGAGGACATCACTAAGCTCCTCTTGAAGGGCTGCCCGTTCCTTGGGGGGCCAGGCTTGAGGGCCAGCCTCCTCATCGGGCTTCCACTGACTGGGGGTAGAACACACAGATAGGCACACACAAGAGATGCTAGCTAGGACAATGGGCCCCCAACTCTCTTGTAACATCCAGTTCTTGTAACAGTGAACTCCCACCTCCTAGGAAGTTCCTCCAAGGCTAACTCAATCCATCTGGGCCCTGGGGAGTCAGGGTAAGACATGACAGCACAGCAGATGATTCACCCTAAACTGTGCCTATCTAAGCCAAGAGTATCCAAGAGAACTTTTCACTTGTTGAGATCCAATTCTACTTCTCTATGGGCTTAGCCACTACCCCCTCAGATGAGGTTTCATCTGAGGTGCCACTGCAGAAGTCTGCTAACTCACCTACCCTTGCCCAGTACTCCTCTTAAAAGCATTCATTACTTTTGTTCCTTTTGCTGAACCCCCCCCAAACTCCTCCAGGTCCCCCTTAGGCTGATTCCTGCCCCTGTCATTGTCTACATGCCCCACCTCCTTAAGCCACTTTGTGTCTTGCAAATAGACCTGCCACAAAAGCTTTTCACTTAACACCCAGCCTTGGAATGCTCCTCCTCTTCCCACCCCCCTCAGGATTTTCCCATGGTTACCATCTCCTTTGTTACTTTCTTTTCATAACCTGGTATTATTTTCTTCATAGAACTTGTTATAACAGCAAATCTTTTAAAACAATTTTACCCACTTATTGTTAGTATCCATAAAAGAACCGTATCTATCTTGTTCATATTCTTTGATGGTAGAAGTCCTAGGGGCCAGATAATGCGCAAAATCTGTCATGAATGAACAGCTTGCCTTCATACACATCTCTGTGCCTTAATTCCCCCATCCCGTGGTGACTGACTGCCCTGGGCTGGCCTGATACACACCAATTTCCTTACTCTCCTCCCCTACCCCAGTTTGCTTTGCGATCCATCCACCCTGCAGACACAAGGGTTGTTCCACCACTCAGATTGTCTAATCATACTCCATCACTTACTAATCCCTGTTCTACCTCAGGATTCAGATCCCTGAAAGTACCATTGAGGTTCAGTCATTTTGATATCCCCAGAAACAGAACAGAATTTGGCACTAAAGAGTTAAACCAATTATCTTATTTTAGAATCAAATAAACCCACTCCTCTTCACAACAGACAAAAACTGTTCTGCCTACTCACAAGAGTTCTGCCAACTCTCCCACTTCCCCCACCAAGGCCAGGAGAAGGTTCCGAGGCTGGTGGAACTGGTCCCAGTCTCTTTCAGCAGCAAACTCTGCATGGAGACGGCGGCTGGAATAGGAGAAAGGGGAGAAAACCCAGATGCCAAGATTAGGATGAGAGGTAGAGCCCAGGCAGGTCCTGCAGTGGATGGGGGGAGGATGAAGAGGAGCAGCATGTAATCAGGGAATTCACCTAATTCCTTGGGTGGCCTTCATCAAATAATTTCTTCTTTATGGTCGGACGTGTTTTTCTCATCTATAAAATGGGTGCGTCCCTAGAGAGACCCCACGCTACTGAAAGTTAGCCATACCCTCTTTTTCATTATTCCACCTCATGCTGCTGCCTGTGCAGTTTCCTCCACCAGAAATATCCGTATCTGCGCGCATCTAAATTATACCACTCTACAGAGTGCAGCAAGGAGGGCATCCGTCATAAGAAGACTTCCTTGATTTCCTCACTCCTGTATATCTAATAAACCCACTCCTGGGAGGCAGAGGTGGGCAGAAGCAGCATTCGATTCCGGTATTTCACCTGGGCTGAGCTGAGGGGTGACTCACTGGGGATCACCATTTCCCCTGCCTCGGGTATACGTCGCCAAGCCTATTTTGCAGATGAGCTTATAAAGTTCTCCCCGGTCAGCCAGGCGTGCAGGACCCGGAACACTGATGCTAGCTTTCTTCCAGACCACGTGGAGGGACCCTCCCTAATAAAAGGAAGAAGAGAGGCGCTTTCCCCAGCTCACACTGGGCAGGGAAGGCTTACATATCCTCGAGCGTGGGCTCCGAGCTGAAGCTGAACGGAGCGGCGGCAGCAGTGACCTCTTCCCGCGTGTCCCCAAGCGTCTCCCCGCCCGCGGCGGACATTGTGCCACAGTGCGGCACTCCGGACTGCTCAGGAGAACCCCGCGCCCTAGTTGACAGCCCGCCTCCGGAGCCCTGAGCCAATCACAGGCGTCAGAGAGCGCGGTGGAGCCGCGGGAAAGACCAATTACTTCTGTAGAATTTAATAGAGCCCGCCCCCTTTCCGGATTGGACCAATCCGAGCGCTTTTCAAGCGAGCACACCCTTCCGGCCCTCTAATTTTCGTTTTGGTCAAGCAGTTTAAAGGGATAAATACCACATTATTCCTTCAGAGGAACACAAAAAGCAGAGGGCGGGCAAGCGCAGGCGCGTCACTTCTCTTGTGGGCGCCAGATGGCGTCAAAGCGAAGCCGCGGGGTGCTGGTGGGGACGCTCAGTGGAGAATCCCTGTCAGTGGTGGCCGGTTTAAGAAAAGAGGAATAGTAAGGATACAAGAATGTCAAAGGGATGCTAGGTCTTCAGGTTACTGCTGGGCCTTAGCAATGAACTGGAGCCTGAGTAGCTGTTTTAAGCATATTACATATTTAATCTTCACAGCAACTCATTTAATCCTTTCAACAACCTAATGAGGTAGGTAATATTATTATTCCCATTTTACAGACAAGGAAACTGAGATATTAAGTGATTTAACGCAATAGCTAGTCAAGTTTCACATCCAGGCAGTTGGGTTTAGAGTTGTATTATTAGCCCCTACGCTGTATTGCCTCTGATAAGAAAACAATTGTTTTTAATTAAAATATTTATTTATGCATACAAGAACTGGGGTACAAGCCAGAGGTGGGTGTGTGTGAAGAGAGATTTTGCCAGAGACAGATTGGGGAGCAGGACAGGCAGATCAACTGAAATATATTGCTGAGGGGAGCAGCAGGCCATACAGGAGAGGTCTGCTGTGCCGTGTGGGTCAGCTACCTGGCCAAGGATGGAACTCATGCAGCAGTAGCTGCAGTTAGCTTCCTAGTGCTGAGACTTAACCCAGAAGGCCCACCATTCCTCCAATTCTTTTCTTACATCCATTTGTACCTGTGATTTTGTTCTGATTTGTGCCCAGGGCTTTGTATCCCCACCTTTTGCTGCCAGCTCCTTTTCAAAGGAAACTTGGATGTGTGCCTTGCTTTCAACCCTTGTTTCTTGGTTGACTAAGAGAACCCAAGCCAGGGAAGCATTCAATCATCTTTCCCCCTTTTCCACTACCTGCCCCAAGTTTGAAAATGAACTAGCTAGGGGCCTCCCTGGTGGCACAACAGGGTAATGCACAGCACAATGAAGCTACCTCAGCCAATGCTGCTCGAGTTGGATCCCCAGCCAGGGAGGTGACTCACATGAAGTGACGGACCTTTCCTGACCTGCCTGCGGCTCTCCTCAAGCAGTGTATTTCATCAGTCTGCCTGTTCTGTTCTGTGCTGTGTCTCTGGTGAATCCTCTCACTGCACTGGCCTGCACCTTAAAAAGAAGAGAGAGGTGGGTAAGTGGACAGCCAGGTCCAAGGCACAAATTTCTGCTCTAGGCTAGTCTTCAGGCTTTGGTACTACCAGTTTCCACCACGATCAAGGAAAGTGTGAGTATGGTGCTAATTTCTGCCTCATTCATTCATTCAATATATTCTGAGCTAACTATGGATCAGACAGTCTTCTGGGTCCTGGAGACTCAACATCCCCTGTCATCTTGACATGTGCTACTAGCAGAAAGGGACAATTATAAAGCAAATGAATACAGTCTCGCAAAAATAACTGTTTAGGAGAGCTATGAAGTCAATATATAGGGTGATGAGTTGGAGAGTAGCTACATGTGGCTAAGGTCAGAGAGGTCTTTTATGAAGAGGTTTAATTTGGACTGAGTGTGCCGGCTAAGTAGAGAGCCTGAGGTTTAAGTTTCCAAAGAGCACAAACACAAAGGGTTTTGATTTGTTTCACATAGAGTAAAAAGACTAGTGAGCAAGAGATTGTTTTTTACAACTATTTTTAAAGATCTATCAATTTATACATGCAAGAACTGGAGTACTGGCTGGAGGTGCAGGGTGGGGAGGGGGTGGTGAGAGGTTTCATCAGAGAGTGGTGGGGAGCAAAACAGGCAAATCTACTGAAATACACTGCTGAGGGCAAGCAGCAGGCCGGTCTGCTGGGCCATTGTGAATCACCTCCCTGATGGGGATCGAACTTGTGCTGCAGTGGCTGCAGGCAGCTTTATAGTGCTGTGGTTTAATCTGCTGTAATACCAGGGAGGGCCTTGCTTCATTGTCTTTTATCTGCCAACTTGCCACTGAGAGGAATGATAGCATTCTTTATTTATGCATACAGAACTGGGGTATAGGCCAGAGGAGCAGGGTTGGTGAGAGGATTCACCAGAGACAGAGAGGAGCAGAACAGGCAGATTGATGAAGTATACTGCTGAAGGCAGTAGTGGACGGGATCAGGAGAGGTCTACTGCACCATGTAGGTCACCTCTCTGGCTGGGAATCATGCTGAAGTGGCTTTAGCTTTGTAGTGCTATGCTTTAACCTGCTGTGCCCCCAGGGAGGACCTCTCCCCTCCACACTAACATTCTTATCTTCCCTCCCCCAAAATTTAAGGAAAGCATAGAGATTTTAGAAGACTGGAGGCAAACTGCCATGACATTGTGCAACTATTTCTTAATCTATCTGTAGTTCAGAGACCTCTTTATTTGCAAATTGGGACTGCTGAAAGTTTAAATGAGTTCATATGTATAAAGTACTTTGAATTTTGCTAGCTAAGATTATTTATCATGTAAATATTTTCTATTACTAGATATATGTAGGTCTTTCTTCATTCACTATGCTGGGAATTTCTGAGACAACTGTCACATTTTAGAAAACTCTTGTATGATTATTTGCTAATTTTTTTTCTTCCCTCTGCTTTATTGCCTCTTTCTGGAATCCTTTTGAGAGGCTGAAACTCTTGATTCCTGTTTTTCATTTTTTTTTCTTGTATTATGCTTTTTGGTCTCTATTTTCTGATAAATTTCCTCAACTTCTAAGTCTTCTACTGAAAAAATACTGTATTTTAATTGTCTGTTTTATTGTCTTTTTATGAACTTTTTCCCCTGTAGTATCTCCTTTCTTGAGTTTTTTCTGTTTGCTTTGGTTTCTCTCAAGTTGGGAGGTTTGCCTCCAATGTCTGGTGATCCCTTCCTGCTCATATTTAAGAATGAGGCATTAAAAAGCTTAAAAAATGCTAGTGTGGCTTTTCAACTATAGGCTTCCCAGAGCTCCCAGAATGTTTATATTATAGGTCTCTTTTCTGGGAACATTTCTCCAGAGTATTCTTCACTTAATTCCCAGTTGAATCAGAGATGGGCAGCATAAGCTTCCTGGATAGTGTTTTTAGTAGCTCTGTGGGAGGACCTGGAGCAAGCTCTTTTTCAGTTTTTAATTCTCCTGTTCTTAGTCTCATCCCTACTAGCCTGTTGTGCTTGATGTCCCTAACTTTGAGTACTTTTTATTTACATTTTCAGGGAAAAATAAAAACTTCCCTTTACCTACAAAGGTGAGAGGTGGTCATCTGGCTGAGTGACATGTAGAGGTTCAAGAACTTAAAAGGTCTAATTACTCTGTGTATAAACTTTCAATCAGTATGTTTTTATGCCCACCTTTGACCCCTGATGCCACTACCCTCAATACATTGGAACAAAGCTCCTTGCTTTGTTAGTATTCCCCAGCTCCAAAGGCCTGGACACTTTGGGTTTTTCTATTCTGCTTTTACCCACTTCCCGTCTCCCGGGAGCTGCTGACACCTTTCTTTTGCTATTAGTATTTACTCTCTCATCCTCTAGCCCTTGGAATTTATGCCTGTTTTGAGAGCCCTCCCCTTTTTTAAAAAAGATTTTATGTATTTATGCATATAAGAATTGGGGTACAAGCCAGAGGTGTGGGATTGAGAGGATCCACCAGAGACAGAGTGGGGAGCAGAACAGGCAGACTGACTGAAATACACTGCCAAGGAGAGCAGTGGATAAGATAGAAGAGGTCTGTTGCGCTGTGTGGATCAGCTCTCTGGCCAGGGATTGAACTGGTGCTGCAATGGCTGTTGACAGCTTCATAGTGCTGCCCTTTAATCCGTTGCACTACTAGGGAGGGCCCATGTTTTGAACCCTCTGCTATAAACTTAGGGAGAAGGGGCAACACTAAATGTGTTAAATCCCCTGCTCTGAGATCAGGGAAAACACTGACTTTCCACTTTGCCAGACTCAGATATTCTAATTGGTTTATTTTGTAAGCATGTACAAGAGTCAGAATTCCAAGGATGTACACATTTGCCAGAAGTTTTTTTTCAACAAATCCTTTTTATTTTACTAGAAATTACTCTCTTATTGGTTAAATCACCAGAAATTTTCAACACAAGATTTAACATATTAATGACCATCAAGGCCTGGACTCTGGGGCTTACTCTGCCTCTCCCAGTCCTTAAAGGGGTTTAGTGGGAGAGGCATCATTAATAGAGGCCAAGTCAGATGGTTACAGTCTTCCTTTCCCAGTCGTTGGACAAGCTGCTCAATTCTTGTCCAGAGCAAGAAAGAGACATTTCAGAAAAATCTAAAAA